TTCTTTAAAAGATATCAATTAATTATGTACATCATGAGTACATGTATAACAATTTGAATTACAGTCAATTATGTACATCACGAGTATAACAATTTTAATTACAGCCAATTATGTACATCATGAGTATATCAATTTGAATTACAGCCAATTATGTACATCATGAGAACAACAATTTGAATTACAGCCAATTATGTACATCATGAGTATATCAATTTGAATTACAGCCAATTATGTACATCATGAGTATAACAATTTGAATTACAGCCAATTATGTACATCATGAGAACAACAATTTGAATTACAGCCAATTATGTACATCATGAGTATAACAATTTGAATTACAGCCAATTATGTACATCATGAGTATAACAATTTGAATTACAGCCAATTATGTACATCATGAGTATAACAATTTGAATTACAGCCAATTATGTACATCAAGAGCGTAACAATTTGATTTACTTCCAATTATGTACATCATGAGTGTAACAATTTGAATTACAGCCAATTATGTACATCAAGAGTATAACAATTTGAATTACAGCCAATTATGTACATCATGAGTATAACAATTTGAATTACAGCCAATTATGTACATCAAGAGCGTAACAATTTGATTTACTGCCAATTATGTACATCGTGAGTGTAACAATTAGAATTACAGACAATTATGTACATCATGAGTGTAACAATTTGAATTACATCGAATTATGTACATCATGAGTGTAACGATCATTTCGCATTTCCGTGATACAATCAATATAAATTAAAATTAATAATTCACTATGCGATAAATCACACCAGCAAATAGGGCATGAAATCATTAATAATAATGGGTACCTTGTATATACAATTTCAATAACATGAGACAGCTGCTAGAACCGATACATAGAACATTGTTGTAGTTAAACGTAGCCTTGGTTAAATATTCAATACGTTCTGTATCATTTGATGTCCAAAATACCACATGACACTATGAGATAATGGTTTAAATTTGATACTGTGTATGGCCCTCGATTTATTCGTAAATATTGACTAGAACGAACAGCTTTGGGACATAACAGCTTTGGGGCGGAACGGCATTAGAACGAAACGACATTAGAAAGAAACATCATTGGGCCGAAACAGCTGGAAAGAAGCGGCTTGAGACGAAACTACATTGAAGTTCGAAAAGACAAGTTCAGAAGCATATAGAAATATTACATACATTTGAATAGATCTATAGACAGTAGATTACAAAATTGCATGTTACGCATTTTAGAACCTAACACGTACTCGTGACTGTAGTCCGGGTTTCCCGGCCTCCCTGAAATATCCGCCGGTACTTCCATAGTTAAGTATATGGGTATGCGCCGTTGTTTTCACCCTCAATTTCAAAGTTGAGCCGATCTTTTTGATTCCCAATATTTAGATTTTCGACCAGTTTAACGAAATTTACAGCATTTTTGGCAAAAACACAACATTTTTAATGAAAAGCGCCCTCAACGTCTATTGTTTTGTGTCCTGTTTTTCAACAATCCCCACCCCCATCCCTGAAACATATGGCTCTAACGTGCAATCTTATTTAGCAAGTTATATTGAAAACTATTTTGTCTGGGAGGTGTTTTCAGGTTATGCAAATTGGACATGAACTTTTCTCGTTAATCATCGTTAATCATTCTGTCAGAGAGGTGGTTGTAGGTTATACACGTTAGGCAGGTTGCGCACCCTTTGCCTCGTGTTGTTTGTTCTATCGGGGGGATCGCTGTCATGATTGGCTGAAACAATTGTCTCATTTGCATAAATTAATATTCCTGAGCAAGGACAAAATTGTCTCTTTCAGTTAAACTGTGCCAAAATGCTTTCCGATCATAGCCAATATGGTAGTTATAAATTGACTGATTAAATAATCGAAAACTGATGTAAAAGTGTTTTTTGCGAAACATTCTTTATCAGGAAAGTAATTACATTGCATGTTTTTTAACGTAATTATAGCAAGTTATTCATGGAGAATGAATGGAGAGCCACGTTGATATTTTACTCTACTAATATTGCTCATAATTGTGCACAATGTTTTTAATAACTTTTATCAGTGATAAGTTATGTAATTAACATGCATTTGGAAAAAGCGCAATAAAGTCTCGCGTAATTAATAGCACCAAACTGTTTGTCGATTGAACTTTTTTGCAATGATAGACACCGTGACAAGTTTAGTGCTCGCATATTTCTATGTAATGTTTCCATGTTTCGTTGAGGATTATTCTGTAAAAAAAATCACTGAAATGATTTTTTGTATTCGTAAAAGGGACTTTGTTCCTTTGACGATGGCCTATGGACGACAGACTTCCATCCAGATCGGACGCTCCCCCTTGTGCCAATCCCCCTAACTCTAAGTGTGGTTCAAACTGACAGTGAGCGTTCTAGTATGAGGTTTTTACTGGAATTAAGCGTAGTGTTATACGAAATGAGTTAGGTACCAAACGAACGATTTAACAACGCACAAGTCTCAAAAGGATTCCATGAAACTTTCAAAATTCGTTGTATAGCTTCGTTATTGCACTCGTCCTAGAACGTTAACTTTTGGAGCCCAGGTCAGGTAAAACCAGAGGGCGTTTACCATGGAGTAGCCGGTAATTCCCGTTAACCACTCTGCGCTAATGTGTTCGAATCGGTACGATAACTACCAGCCACTAATAACATACCTGCAAATGGTTTGCCACTTGATATCGCGACCAAAGCACAGAGTACGATAAGTAGTTTCACCATTTTGAATCTGCTGATGCGCAGCTATTCCTGAATTCGTCGACTAGTCTCCCGTTTATATTAGAGACTAATATGACAGGGCGAGACCTCTGGTTAAGTACTAACAAAGTACAATGGAAATAAATCAGTTGTTGCTAGAAATTTAAATGATAGTTAGAGAAGGGCGCGCATTGTACAAAGTATACAAAAGAAAGCAAAGAATGAAAGAAAAATTAAATGACAACGGATTGTTTAGCGGATGACGACATTTTCCGTATACACGTGCCTAGTTGGGCTCAGGCTGTTTTTATTTATAGCAACTATTGTGAACCGGGGTGAAAGAAAGGATATTCATGGTCACCGGAGGAGTGTTTTTTTTAATTTTCGAGGTGACCTCTCCCATACCGTTTGGAATTCGGACAATCTCTTTGTATTTTTTTTTTAATTTCATATATCTTATTTCTATTTTTCATCGCCACGAGCTTTTGCGGTTACCCAAACTTTTAAAATTGTGCCAGCAAATAATAAATACATCCAAATATTTAAAACATATTTAAAAAAAATTAAATTAAGATTTTACTGTAACAAGATTAGGGCTTGGGTAGTCGGTATGAGAGGGCAAGCAAAATTTGTCGTTAGTTTTCCTCGATTTTTAATTATTGGAATTTCGGACGAATACTACTACAAAATACGAATGTATTTAGAAATAATTAACCAAAGGCACATTTTTGTTTTCAGATAGTATTTCTCTTAAAATAATATTTCGTAATGGGTAAAAAACGTCGTTGAATCGTGCTCTAAATCAACATTTATGCTATCATAGTACTAGTAGTTTTTGTTTCGCTCTATTTATTTGGTCGAATCCTCAGCCGCCTAGTTACACCAAGCAATTCGTCGTATTGCACGTGGCACAAATCTCTACATGTAACCGTGACCGAGTTTACGACAATGTAACAGCAAACAGAATAGCATTGCGGATTAAAAAAAAACACAATATAACTCTAACACATGACGTCTTCATCACTATCAAAGAATAAATAGACATATTAGTAACACCATAGACCTTAGAGGACGTTTTCACCTACATCCAGATTACGACATCCAACAAGTGTCGTTGTCAGGGCATGCTTTGATGCGGGTTGTCGGGGCTTCAAAGCTACGTGATTTGTTTTTAATTCTCCGATACCTAACAATGGGATTTTTTTAACAGACGTGGCGTAGTCGTCGTAAAAGAAACATAAACACTGTTTTCAAATACATTTTTCTTTCGATGGGTTTTCGAGTCGAACAGTGAACACATCGAATCACACTGTGCACTATAATAACAACGTACGACGTCCATTCATTAAAAGACTACTTCCAACTTCCACAATGTAGATAATAAAGAGTTTTGTTAGCTATTCGGCTATTCACGTCTGCCACTGAATAACGAGTATATAGTTTACAACTGGATCACAAAAAGAAACCGGAGAACAGGAGAAATGCGAAATCATAGATCAAAGTTGTAAAGTTGTTAATTAACGTATGAACATGATGAACAAAGAAAGACAAAAACAATGCTTTTCTGCGTACGATAATTTGTGGTAAAGTTGGTATCTGAACAAAACGTCACGGACAAATAGATCCTTAGATAAGTGACAGCGAGGACAGCACAAGTAACACGTCCCTCGTTCATATCGGTACTATCACACTGCCTGTGACTGCATGTGGGTTTTAACTGAGATTTTACTAACATTTTACTGCCACAGTATGTACTTCTTGAATTAAACCCGTATACTATATACTAGTAATAACTGAAATACATAGATTCTAATGCTTATTTTTCCATACTGCAGCTGCCATTTTAGTTTTCATGCACTAGTCGATTCTCACAAGATGGCTTCGCAATGCCCGCCATTTTGGAATTACGTGATTTGACGTTAATTAAAAGTTCAAAGTGATGACGTGGACATATTATTACTTAGTTACATTGCACGCCTCGGTCATCCAGAGTGCATAGTAATTGAAAAAGTAATTGTGAGGCGGCGACAGACAGACAGAAGTAACATCATCAATGTTACCCATTAGTATAGGATATGTCCTCGAAATAAATACATGACTGAAGAGAGTAGTATGTTCCTACATAACAAATAGTAGATAAAAACAGATATACCGAGCTCGCTATACAAATGAGTTTTTTTGTAGATGAAGATATTAATAAAAATAACTTTGTCATACTACAATATCAGCAGGGGTGCTTTTGGTAAAACAGAACTACAACAGTCAAAATGCAACAAAAAGTGAATCGCAATGGCACCACCGTTTTCAGGCGTGTGACTTATCTATGAACTCTAGCTTTCATGTACAGGTATTTAAAAACTCCCAATCTATTCATCATAATTTTGTATGTAAATTGTTTCTTTGTTATTTATTTTCATATTTAGGTCAAATTACATTGATTTGATAATTTTAGAAAATTAACTCCTAAATTTAAGAAATAACGCATTTCTCCAAACACAACCAAAAGTCCACGAAACAGGTATACATGTATAAACGATTTTCTCTGGTTTTTCTGTCTTTTCTATTTCTACCATACAGTGTTTTATCGATTCCTGAAAATTGCATCAGTTATTCGCATTTGTTATCTAAACCCAAACTAATCTTCTGTTATTTTTTGGCTTAAAATACTAGTGAATATAGTGTGATAGCTCTGTAGTTAGTGGCATGTGATTTGTTACCACATTTGTGTAGAGAAACCAACATTTCCAGCCATTTGGGGAAGCTTATACTTACATTATTAGTTTTGAAGATTTCATTTGCAATTCCATTATCAGGATATATCCACGCCATCCCAAATAAATAGGATAACCCTTGAA